AGCTAGGAAAATAAGAAAGGGAAGGGCCTCATTTGAATCTCCTTTGTCACATTTTTGACTCTGTCCCATGGTCAACTGACCTACCTTTCTCATTCCTTCCAAATGCCTTCTATATCACCTGGATTCATATGGCCACAAGATGTTTTCATTTGCAATTTCTATTTTCATTCTCTATAATTAATACCAATAACAAAAATGTATGCAAAATATGCTCTTGTAACCACCGTCATGCTGCTTACTGGGGAAATACTCAAGCATATAATACACATTTTAAAAGTACACTTCTTTTTTTCTGTAATCTTCCAAGAGAATCACTGGAACTAATCTTATCCCAAAGAAGAGAATAAAGCCTGTGTGAGATCACTTCAGGCTCCACAAATATCAAAGAGAATAAACCAGGAAGTGAAACAGATACAGTATTTGTAATTCCATTATTGAGAGGCAGAGAGGAAAGATTTAAATAATTTATTTTTCTTTTCACACTGGAAAAAAATAAGCATGACAATAAAGCCCGATTTAAGATATCCTGGCAAATATGAGGACCATTTAGTAATAGCCATGAAATGATACTGGAGTTACTTTTGTGCCTTTAAAAGCAATTAGTTCTCCAAAATCATTAGCTCTTACCATTTTAAAGGACCTCTTAGTTAGGCCTATAACCCTGTTACTTGCAAATACAAGGCTTACAGCACAATTCAGTAATTTTGTTTATGCTTGAAGGGAATTGGCATGCATTCATAGGCAATTTATTGCAATATAATCCTAACATTCAGAATAAATTGTAAATTAATTTTAATGAGCTTTCCCAAGCAAGGAAATTCATGCAGGAATCTAAAGATGTTTTGTAAGGAAATTGCTTTCATTGTCCAAACAAACCACCAACAAAGACCCAATAGGACAAAGCAGATAAAACTGGTCTCAGAGAAGCTGGACAAGAGAGGGAGATGAGGAAGCAGGAAGGGCTGAGTAGAGCAGCATGTGCAAGGTGGGCCAGCACTCAAGGATTCTGAGGGATACAGGTCTGTTCAGAATCAAAACATCAGAGAGATGCTTAACAGCAAGGGACTAGGAGAGAGCATAAGGGTTATGAGAGGGATAAGGGCATAAGAGGCATAAGGGTTAGGAGAGAGGGAGACCTGTAGGATGCTGCAAGGAATGGACCATGTGGGTTTAGTTCAGGCTCAGCAAAAGGAACGTGGCATTTGCAAACAGCTTCAGAAGTGGTGGCTGGGATTTCACCTATTGCCAGAAGAGCTAACACACAATGCTGCACATGCCTCTGCACATGAGACAAACCTGCTCTGGGAAATTCCTTTAACAGGAGGTAGGCAGGGTGTGCCACAGCAGGAGCAAAGGGCATGCAGATGTTCCCTGATCCAGCTGTTTCCTCCACATCCCCTTCCCACAGACCCACTGCACAGAGGGCAGCGGAAAAGCCCATTCCCACCTCAGCAAAAGAAAAGAGGCTGAAAAGTGCACCCAGTTGCAATCCTAACTTTTTGTCTTTCAGGGCACCTGCCAAAGCTCTCTTTGCAAAGTCTCCTTCCTTATCAAATTCCTTCTTCTAAGCAACTATTCCTGGGAAATACCTGTTCCTGGTGTGCAACAGCTGAACTGTCTGCAGAAGAGTACTGCAGACCCGTGCCAACCTGTGCTCTGCTACCTATGCTAACGGGCACTTCCAAAGGCTTCTCATCCTATGACCAAGCAAGGAACTCACTGAACAAAACAAAATTACATTAATGCACTCCTTCCCTCCTCATTTTTCTTGGGTAGTTCTTATACATCAGTAGGCAACCGAGCAAGCAGGAAGCAGCTCAGGATCACTGATTTTCTTATTCCCTCTCACCCTTTGTTGCCACCTCAGTTTTCTGAACGTCAGCAGAAAAGGCATAAAAATGTGTATGTTTTTCAACCAAGGCCCCTGCAAAGTTTTGCTGGCACTTGTACACATAGGTATGTCCCTTCACCTACAAATTAAAATACACATGTAGAGCTCCCAGTCTGAATATACAGATGTATTTTGTGTGCAAGTCTGGAAGGTAGCCTACCACAGGGCTCACTACTGTGCTACCTGTCCATAAGCTCTGAGCACCAGAGCTTGAATACAAAACTGAAACTTCAACAAGAGAAAGGATTTGAAAGAGCTTTTATAAGAGCATAATATAAATCAAACAACAGAGGGAAAAAAGACATGAAAGGAACACTGGAAATTAAGAAAAAATGAACAAAACATGCAAATTAAGTATCAATTTAACAGAAACAATCATTCAAAATGAAAAACAAACCCTAAAAAAATCCCTTAAGTATTTTATTATTATTTGATCACATTTTCACACATTAATGTCCCATTTCCACTACCAGCATTCCATATTTTTGTTCTTTACTATTAAATGTGATTTTTTTTTTGGTGTAAGCAGTCTCCATTCCAAGTGGGTACCTAACCCTGCAGTGAGTGCATGAAAACTTAATATGGTCAGAGACTGCTGTCATATTTTAAGGCAGCAAGAGGGATTATAGAAGTCTGGTCAGAAAGGGAAATGTGACAATCACTACTTGCTCTGCAGCTGAAAATAAAAAGTGCTACTAAGTGAAATGAGGAAAAAAAGAAAGAGAAAACCAAAAGGGCTCTTACCAACTTTAGTTTAAATTGCACACATAAAAGAGGATGCAGACGGGGTCTGCAAGAATTCTGGTATTTCTATATTAAATACAGATAGTAAAAAAAAAATAAATAAATACAAAAGTGCCTGGTTTTAGACCTGAAAATTGCCTAGTTGATGTCTCTTAATACAAATTATTTAGGAAAATAAAACTTTGTTTTCCTCCCTAACCAACATCCCTTTATTTACCAACATCTTAAAAACATGAAAAATGCTGGTTTCTAAGTTAACATGCAGTGCCCTACATGGTTTTTCAGCTGATAACATTATCCATGATAATTATTTTAAAAATATATCAGTCTATTCTGAAAGATATTATCAGTTATTTGAAACTACATGAATCTGGTTTTTCAACATCACTGCATCACTAATATTAGCCATAACTCTTACTTTGCATTCCCAAACACAATACTTCAGTGGAGGGCTAACTGCCAGCAAAAAACGCAAGTAAAAATGACATTCTACTCTTAACTTTCCCCAGGAATCTAGAGGTTCTACCCCCACCTTTAACTTCAGACACATTCCTTTGCATAAACAGGGAAAAAAATAGCACCTATTTGTAATACTAAGCAGCTACAATTACAGATGCCAGTAATAATCAAGGAAAATTAAATACAATACTTCACATGTAACACGTTAAACCTGAAGTAAGGCACAATCCATATGCAGATGCTTCTATAAATATGAATTCGTATTTTCTTTTGCCATGTGTACATACATGGCAAAATGTGTGTAAACACTGTGTAGAGAAAAACAAGAGCAATGTTAAAGCACTCATGAGTACTGCTACCCGTGATTTTTAGTTACAGGACCAAGCTCCTCCTGCTAGACAGTTGTACTTCCCATTATGAGACACATCTACAAATGAATACCATATGTTCTTACACGATATAATACGTACACAGGGAAATAAAAAATATTTGCTGCCTGCAATATTAAGTCATATATGAAAACACCCATTTCAATTAAATTGAAAACATCGTATTATGACAGTGACCTAAGCCTGCAGTTTGGGGGGAAAGGGCAGGGAGTGGGTGGGTGGAGGACGGGAAGGCACCCTGGCTGGGCATGACCTTGGTGCACAGAGCAGAGACATTTCCAGGCGGCGAAGGGAACCAGGTGTGAGGCAAACCAGAGCAGAAGCTGCAGGGTGCCCCATGAATCCTTCACCTGCACTGCCTCACTAATCTGCTCTGTCCTCAGCCCTCATGGCATCTCACCACACTGGGCAGCATCCTGCTGGCTTTCCAGCACTGAAGTAAGCACCCATACACCCTAAAAATCAGGGAACCAGTACATAGCAACAGCAAAAAGAGGTGATGAGGGGACTGAACATCTCTTGGCCAGAGCTGGGTGATAAATACATCCTCTGAGTTCAGGCAGGGTGACACAGTTAAGTCCCTTCCTATCAGTGGTATTAAAGTAAACTCCTTTTCAATACTGTCTGCACTGAAAATGCACACTTGCAATCTTAAAAATTTTTGTGGATACAAGGAATATTTGATCATATAAGTAGCCAATTCTGTCTCAGAGGATAAAGAATGATTCCTTTGCCAAAATAAAGCACCTGGACAAAATAGATTGTAAAGAACTATAGAAGTGCTGACAGACTGACACAGAAATGGAATCACACACTTGTCAGCATGAAAAGGGTTTAAAGCCTACAATGAAAGTCAACAGAGCAATAGCAATTGATGTAGAAACTCTGTAACAGGAAATTTACAACACATTTTAACAAAAAGATGAAAAGGAGACTTTCAAAGAAGGACAAATGCCCGTATACCTAAATTATACTATTTTCTCAATTCTCAGTTCTCTAAATGCAAAACCGGTGTGTGTACTTTACAGCTTCTGCCACCCTTGTTGAGTCTTTGCACCAGACACACTCTAATCTCCTTCATCTTTGAAAGTCAGCAAGGTGCAGTGAAGAATTTAGGGATATTTTCATTGACTGTGCCCTCTAGGCAACTGATTTAATTTTCCCTTTTTTGCTGTCTCATGGCAACTCACTTGGAAGTAAATCAGTTAGAATTTTTTGTACAATGCCCTCTCAGAATCAATATGACCTTTACTACCAGTATATACACTATTGTTTTAAACAATGAGGTAACGAAGCTGCCTCTTCACCAGGAGTGCCACAGCAGCGCTTCAGCTCCAGTTCCTTCTTTGCTCACACCAGCTTCGCTCCTGTGCAACCTAGAACACCCCAGGGGATGTCCCCAAGCACGACACCTCCAGGCCACCTCACCTCACATAAAGCCAACAACTTCTCTCAGCAGCCTAAATCTGCACCCCAAAACAACCACGTGCCAGACCCTAGGATCTCCGCATCCTTACCGGCACGTTCCACCAAGGCAGCACAAGCATTAAGGCAGCCAGCCTGTTGTACATCCAGTCCAATTCAGGGGAGGGCAAAGGTGTCTCTTTACCAGGAAAGATTAAATGGGAAATTGCTACCAGGACTCTCAGAGGATCATGTGATAGCACTGAGCAGAGCCAACTAACGTACAACCCAGTGCAAAAGTTAACTCCCTGAGGCCACTGCAGAGAATAATTCTTTGTTCAGAAATAGTGAGGGGTCTACATCCATGGAAACAGCATCAGCATCACCTCAGCACTGTACCACCAGACAACAGCTAGCTTTTCTTCCACCAGCAGACATACAAAGTAACACAATCATCTTTTGAGTAGTTAAGCCACTTCCCAAAAAATATTGCTCATTAATCTTGACACAGTGTAAGACTTGAATTCCCAGAACTGTACAAAGGATTGGGGATGGACCTTGTAATTAGCTTTTCCTTAATCCCAATTAATCCCAGAGGTAATTAGTATCCTAATGCATCCTATTGCAAGGCATCCTTTAAGGGAACCAGAGTATACAGGGTCACATTTGTCCACTAGCCTGCAGTAACTGGATATGCCAGGCACCTTGCCCTTCTTCCAAACTATCAATCCAGAGAATCAGAGGTCAGCAGATCTCGGTGTACTTGGCTGAAGGAACGTGCAAGACGCGTTCGTCATATCTCAACTTTAACAATGTCCTCATTGTTAGGAAGAGCTCACCGAGGCAGATAACAAGCAGGCAAACTCCCACCTGCACAGCAGCAGGTGACAAATATGCAAAGCAGACCCTCTGAGAAAGCAAAACCTGTGGCATGAGGGATCCTCCACAATGGAAAAACACAAAGCAACAGCCTCTTTTGCTCTTAGGGTCACAGGCTTCCTCCTTAAGAAACTAAATGGATATGAATCTCCTGTCAGCAGCCTGGCACAGCCCAATGTCCCATGACAACTCACTGTAGCCCCACTCCTACATTCTTCTCTGATGACAACCAGCTGGAAGCAAACTGGATGACACATGGACTCACAAAGCTTGAAAAGTTTTTGGTGACAGTGGACTTCCTGAGGTAAAATTGCCAAGCTGTTGCTTTGACCCAGCTGGACTGCTATCAGTGATGGATACATTGTACTAAAGGATCAGGAAAAAGACCTGGGAAACTCATGCTCTACACCTCCAGAGCTAGTGAGGTCAGCTACAGGGCAGTTCACATATCACTAAATTAAAGTCTTCTTGAAGATGACAAGGCACATTGGGAGTTAAAATTTTAAGTCATTTCCTTGTTTAAAGTACTAGCAATGGCTTCTTGTGAGAGCAGCAGCTTGATATGGGACAATGGTTCATGTCTGGCTAGCTAACAACAAGGCATACAACAGAAGTAATAGTTAACAATAAAAATCAAAGCTTTAAAATACTACAATTCCCTCACTAGTTACTGTGCAAAGTATTCACTCTACTTGCAAAAGTATCTTATGCTTTTAGGATATGCTTATTTGGATAGTTAGGATAATTTTCCACCTCAGGTAAAAAAATCCAACTTCATACTAACATTTTGACTCAGATCAAGTTCATCAGTCTTCAGACGAATCTTGCTATAACTTAAACTAAAGGCAAGCGACTAAAAGTTCTTAAAACCAGACAGAAAATCATTCCATAATGATGCAAGGACTATACTGGCATAAATGTATCTTTCAATTTAAAAAAAACCCAAAGCATTAGAAAAAGAAGGATAAGCACAAAACACTGTTAGCAATTCCAGAGTAAGGTAATGTCAGCTAAAACAGAAACAGAGAATACTTTCTCATATCAACAGTGTGGTGGTATAATGCAGTAAAAACACAATGGGAAACACAAGTGATGCACAATACAGTTGATCACCACCCACTGACCAATGCCCAGCCCATGCCTGAGCAGTGATCAGCCCCTTCTGGCCAACTCCTCCCACTTTATATACTGAACATGACACTCTGTGGTATGGAATATCCCTTTGTCCAGTTCAGGTCAGCTGTCCTGGTCTTGCTCTCTCCTGGCTTCTTACTCATCTGCTCACTGGCAGAGCACAGGAAACTGAAAAGTCCTTGACTTCCAGTAAGCACTACTGAGCAACAACTAAAACATCAGTGTGTTATTGACATTATTCTTGTACTGATTCTAATACACAGCACTGTGCCAGCCACTGAGAGGAAAATTAACTCTCTCCCAGCTGAAACCATGACAGATGTAACCTTGATTCTTCTATTTAATAAGAACAGTATCTCTTCCTAGTGATTTGTGCAAGCTAACCTACCTGGAGAAATATTTCTTAACTATTGAAGCTCCTTTGGATCAAAATTGAATTACATTTTTATGCTTTTTATATTTCTTTATACTTTATACATTCTTATATCTATGTGACAAAACTCGGAGGGTGAGAAAGAAATAGGGGCTCAAAAAACCTCAGGGTTAACATGATAGAGCACAATACAAAAGGCACCAACCTTGTCCAGAATCAGAGGCTGTACACCTGTGTCCACATGACATGGGGGAAAAATGAAATGAGAAAGCTAAAGACCAAGGTAGGATGAAGAGAAGGTTTCTCAGCCTAGGCTCAAACTCACATGAATACAGCTATACAGCTGTCTGATGGCATGATGCTGGTGCTGGCCTACAGTCTGAGCACAGAGCAGCAGAGATGTGCCACCACTCAGCACAGCCCAGCCCAGTAATCTGTTTTCCAGGAGGAAACCCAGCATTCATACAGGAAGAAACACTCCTGTTGCAAAAAGAGCCAAGAACCTGGCTCCAGGCTCCTACAAGACCAACAGTCTGGCTCCCGATGCATTTTTTCATGCTAGCTAACTCTCACCTGCTAACTAACCTGATCTCACTTAGCAACTTCTGCAAAATCATACAACCAAAACTCTATTTATGCCTAATCTGAATGTCAGAGATTAAGTTTACACATATGTTTAAAATTAAGAGAAATTTTAACAAGCTATACTGAGGTCTGTGTTACTGAGATCTATATCAAATAGTTCTGCAAACAGACATGACCAAAAATATGTGAGTTAATGTTTTCCTTATACTCCCTAATACAGGATGACAAACATTTATGAAACAATCTCTTCAAAAACTCAAGCAAGACCAAAAAAGCCTAAACACTGCGACAAATCACACAAATTTTAATACCATACATCTTCATAAGCTGTTTTCTAATTTCAAGTCCAAAGTGCCAAATACCAGATTTCACAGCACGAAGTTCATTGTTTCTCATAAACTTTCATAAGCAGCTCCCTACTTACTAGGAGAAAAAAAAGATTCTGTGTTAGTTTGTTCTTGTATGTGCCATTCACAGTAAGGAGTTCAAACAAATACAGCCCCTTTCCTAGTTTTCACCTCAGAGGAGAACAAGCATCACAGTGTAAATACCCTTTTCAGAAAAGGGAAGACAGGCATTGGACAGATGCTTGGACATTTTCATTAGCACATAATATAATCAATTATTTATATTTGTAAAATGTCCTGGATATTTAATATCTTAGTCTTTTTTACTCTTAAACCAGAAAATATTACTGAAATTCAAAGTTAGATTGTGTTTCCTATAGGAAATCATGCAAGCTATTCTGATTATACTTCTCACTCCCAATACTGTTTTCATGCACTACCTTGGGCACTAAGAAACCAAAGCAATCTCTCTAGTGCAAAGTTCAGAGCAAAGAAAGGTGTGTTTAAACAAAGCACAGATCAGCAAGCTTTTAGGAGCTTATCAGTGGATGACCAACCATAATTTAGAAACTGCACTTTTATTTACCTCATTAAAGTCTGTGGGAATCCAAGCTGGGCTTTTGTTTCTTTTGGTGAGGCGGGCAGCAGGGTGACACGTGCAGATGATGAGGGAAAGGCAGGTTATCAGCAGCCCTGCATGAGCAGTGCAGGTGTTCCCTGCAGTGCAATGCACCTGGATTCCAAGGATCTGTTCTCACATCACAGCCTGCCTTTTGCAGGTAGAGGCCATGCACATGACTGAATCACTGAACAGCATGAGTCAGGACTAAATGAGCTGGAAATGAAGCTTACACCAGCTTTAGAGTGCTTGTTAAAGGACAAGTTGTACCTGAACTGACTAGAAACCTGCCAGTACAAACTTAAGTCATCAAATATCTTCTCAACAAAACTGAAACAACGGAGCTAAATTATATCAGGTGAGCTTCCCACAGGATGTGGACATAGCCACTACTAGGACTCATAAAAATGAATTAACTTGTCAAATCACAGCCACGCAGTGATCACATTAAGCTGGCACAGAGGTAGGCTACTGCCAGAGGATTCTGTCAAACCCCCCTTTCCTGTGAGTTTCCTTTACTCTCCTTGTGCCAACACCACCACTGATGCAGTAACTTGCTGAGTTAGATCAAGGAACTAATCTGCCCAAAAACAACACTTGCAAAAAAATATTGCTTTCAGTTGATTTTTTTTTTTTTTAATCCAGATCAACCTACTTCAGTCAACTCAGAAATGCTAATGTCAGGGTAATAAAAATATTAGGAAGTGTAAGTGAGAGATGGAAAGAAACTCTACTTTCAGTGGTGTTCCCCACTCTTTTCAGCACCCATTTATCTCAGCCTGCTATGACCATGACCTGCACCCACCATCACTGCACATCAAAACTTCTGCTGGTTCAGAACAAGCCTTAGGAGACACTCTAAGAGGAAAGAAAAAGTTTCATCAAATATTATCTCTTTCCAACAGAACACAAAGACGTTTCTCAAGTCTACCTGAAATACAGGCTTCTCAGGAGAAGATAGCACAGGCAAGCCACCCAAGTGAGTTCAGCAGGACATTAAAGCCCACTCTCTGAATGGAGCTGTAATGATGCTAACAACCACTCACACAATAGTAACACCACGATCAGCATTCCCTTATCTAGCTGTGGCAAAGACAAGCAGGCTGAGAGACTTCAGAAGCTACATTAAGGATCTATAGGACCTCTCATCCTCTTTGCAACTGCTGAGAAAGAAAGCACCTTCCATTGGCCTGTGGTAACTATAGCTCTGGTATCCTGCTGTGACTTGCCACTGAGCCACAGCTCTGT